TAACCTAAAGTTAACCTAAAATGTTGCTACCATATTTTTTACGGTGAAGTTCTGGCAACCGCACTGCCGGTATATTACTGTAAATGTCACAGAGTTTTTTTTACAGTGTAGATAAAATGCTCAAATTAATAGTTATCTGATATGGGGTTTTTCAGTGACAGATTCTGATGCCAATATCTAGAGATCTGGATATGCACAAGTTATAACGGTATTAAGAAATATTTTGAAAGAAATTGTTACAAGTATTGCAGGTATCAATGCAACCTCTGCCATTTCTAAACATAAAAAATACAATTTAATGAGACAAAATAAGATGTACACAAACTGTTTACTTTAAAACAATATATAAATTACAATTTAAAATCATTTAAAAAATCCTCATATGAACGCTAAAAGTCACCAAAAGTTTTATCAATAACTGACCTGTCTGAAAAGACAAAAAACACAAATAATTAAGCAACCATTGATATGTATAGGGGTAGAATGGGGTAAAACGCCCCCCCCCCTGCTGTTTTTCCCAAAATAACCACTAGATAAAGTCATGATACATTTTTGTTGTAACTATGGACTACGTAGACAAGAGTGATGTAGAAGTATTCACCATGAAGCTTACACTGGTGATGTACCGGAGAGAAAACGGGTTTCACGGCAAGTGATCATTTTCAGCAGGGAGAAAAAAAAGTGTTTTAAAGCTTGTTGTTTTGTAGAACTCACAGTTATATATGATATGAGAATAGTAAGGCTTGTAGATAGGAAGTATGTGTGATTTAAGAAAACTATAATTATATTTTCAGAATGACAATTTTTTTTTTTACTTAGTCTGTAGGATAAAACGCCCCCAGGGGGCACGGCTTCATTACTCTGTCCTGAACATCAAAACCTTTGTTTTTCCATCAAATGTATTCTAACTAGTTGGTTGAATACAAATATTTGGACTTTATTAACAAAATTCCTCAGGTAGCTAGTTAGCATCAGCTAACAATATTTTTCAAATAAGCTGTTATAATTTTGTAATTCATAATTCTATTCTTTTCAATTTTAAGCTCAATCTGCCTGTACTCTGATTTTGCTGTAAACGTATAAAGCAAATTGCTTTGTCAGACTGGGGGCATTTTACCCCATCTGGGGGGCAAAACGCCCCCTTGGTACAAATTAAATTTTTGTTAAGAATTAAATAACATGAAAACTCCGGACATTTTTCATACATGGTTTATAATGCATGTCATTGTCACTAAAACTGATAATTCTATTCTGGACACATTTAAGTTTTGTTTCACAGGGAAAAAAATTACAGTCCTTAAAGGGGGGCGTTTTCCCCCACTCAACCATCTAGGCTATGTAAACAACAGCCCAATTTCCCAACAACTGAAAACAACCACTTCAAATATTAAAATATTTGTTATTATTATACAACCTTCGCAATTCAAAATGCACCCAACAGTGAAGAAATGTGTGTGATATTCGCATACTTAATTGCGACTGGACATCTTTCTTGCATTTATTAGCATACTGAACTCTGATTGGTCCTTCCTTTCTTCCACAGCCGCCACTAAACAAGATGCGTGCTGCTGAGCGTCATGACAACGGCTGCGGCATTTCATTTACACAGAAGCAAAGCCACTCGCATACACATTTCTTTCAATTCGTGCCTCGCAAGCACTGCTATTTCCTTCAGGATATGCAAATACAGTCACTTGTGATGTTTTACAAACTCACCCGATGGTGCTGAGCGCCTGTTCCAGGAGCTCCGTCTGCAGAATATTCTGCGGCGGCGTGAAAGCTCCATTAAAATGAGATAAAACCGAGCTACAGAACTGACGCAATGTCTCAAACTGCATTTTCCCTCTTCCTCTCCGCTATCCTGCGTATGTTCCCTCTTTCCCTCAGACGAAACTCCTCCAGCGCTCCTCGCCTCGGACGCGCCGCATCTCCAGCGCAACTTCCCGATGTATTCTGATCCCGGTGAAGAGTGCGTTTGGATGAGGAGAGCGGACCGACACCGGCTCCCCCGCTCATTATGTTTCGAACTTAAGAGAGAAAACGCACGCGCAGCGTTTCCTAAACGCACCGGAGATCCCTCGTGTCTTTATTTATCCACAGTAATCGCGATAACATCCATGCAAACGCGTCGTGTCCTCGCGGAGACGCTGCTGTCAGGATTCGGTCTCTCATCTAGCAGCCTTCCGCTCTCAGGAGCACCAGAGCAGCACTACACATCCTCCAGCAGCTCTACAGCGCATGTGGCGTGGGGAGGAGGGGAGCTTTCTTTCTCCCACATCATTAAGGGTTTTCCGTGGAGAGAGAGATGCTCTGCACTAAAAGAGAACTATTGTGTGTGTGTGCATACCTGAAGGAATATGAGCGCTAGAGGAACAGAAAACGCTCTCGTGTGGAGTGCACTCTGCCCTGAGGACACGAGCAATAAGAGTGCTTTTTAACATGCATTCTGACCTAAAAAAATTCAAAAAAAAAAAAGTTCTATATTCATTTAAAAGCGAAGCAGGGCCCTTTATGAGAGACATGTTAAAGCCATTAGCAGGATGATGCAACCTAAAAATCAAGACTGCATAGTTCTATTAATTTGTGTTTACTGTACATGCATTTGGAAGTACATTATTGACTTTGGGTATAATATAATACAATATTATATAATATACAACAATTATAATATACAACATTATATTTTAAAAGACCATTCATTTGTAAAATATAGTCAAATGTTTTTAGTAAAAAAAAAAAAAACTTTTAAATGATAAAAGGATAAACTTAGTGCAAAAGTGAAAAGATAGATATGAAAGATAGAATGATTTAGGTACATTTAGGTAGACAGACAGACAGACAGACAGACAGATAGAACGAATGATAGACAGAACAATAGATAAATAGAGAGAATGATAGAACGATGAACAGACACACAGAAAGATTAGATAGATAGATAGATAGATAGATAGATAGATAGATAGATAGATAGATAGATAGATAGATAGATAGATAGATAGATAGATAGATATAGAACATTCGATAGATAGAACGATTGAACAACAGATAGAACGATAAAATTATCGAATGTTAGAACGATAGTATGATAGGTATTAATGATAGATAGATAAACTGATAGAATGATAGAACAATTGATAGACAGAATGATAGATAGGCAGAACGACAGAAAGTTAGATAGATAGATAGACAGACAGACAGACAGACAGAGTGAAAACTATCATTAAAGTATTTCTAAAAATCTCTGCCAAACCTCAAATGCACCAGTTGTTTAAAGATCAGCGTTTACATCATTAAAATGTTGAATGGTCTATAGAGAGCAGGCAGGTGTGAGATCAGAATGCTGATATTGAATTCCGGCAGGTGCATCTTTCATTCTCTTAATAACTCTCTCAAGACAAAACCTCTACATCACAACATCAGCTCCCACAGCGCTAAACCAAGAGCAAGAAACCTGATTACATCATACTTAAAGTGAAACTTGTGCTAACCTCTTGAACTATCGACACAATATGCATGTACACAATATACTGTATATTGCAGTACCCGCTGTGACAATAGAAGATCAGCTCTCAACCCTACAAATGACTCATGCATTTTGTATAATTTCAGATCTAAAACAACCGCTGTTGTTTAACTTAGGTGTCACATTGCATCTAGCTACAATAAAAACACTAATGGATTTTATAGATGGAGAGGGAGGAGATACAAATGCACGAAAACCCGCGAAACCCAGGGAAACATAACGGCTGTAATTAAATCCGAATCCCAGTGTAATTATTATTGTTTCATCTAGCAGTTTCACCCACACTTGCGCCACGTCTGAGCGTTCTCTCCAGTGACACCTCCGAGACCAAGACAAATTAGGCTCTTCCCACATTATTTCAGGATATAAATAGGCTGTCAGCACTTTTTCAGGAGAGAAGAATCAGAGTTAATTTAAACAATCTTTAAGATTAATGGAAGTGCTTTTCAGTGATTTCCTGAGCTCTATTCCTGGACATCAAACTATTTAACACATTCTCTCAGCGAACAGTCAGGCCGTTCTTAACCACTTTGGCAGCAGTTAACCCAAAAATTCCCATGCCACAGAAGTAGGGCCTGAAATGATTAAAAATTGTCTATTTATTATTTTTTCAACACTCAGAGAAGGTGCTTAACCGTCATAAAATGTTGATTGTCAACCTCGGGAGGTCAAATTAAATATTATATGACCTGTTTTATTTTCTATTCATTTTACATGAGCTTCACAACCCTTTATGAGTTTTGCAACAGTTTTTACTGTTTTTATTTTTGTGATTCCTCTAGCAATAATAAAATTAAATAGACAAGATGAAGAATTATTTCAGTGGAAGACCATTTCTATTGAAGCTTGTTTCTGCCACTGAATAAAAAATAAAAAGTTAATTGCGATCTTAATCTCATTTTTTATCTCACAATTCTGACATTTTTATTCCAATTGCAAGTTTAAATCTTGCAGTTCTGTCTTTTTTTAAGTTTAAGAGTTTATATTTTAAGAAAATAGTCAGCCTTTTTTTCCTCAGAATTATACTTTATAACTCACAATTGCGAGAAAAAAAGTCAGAATTTTCTCACAGTTCCGACTTTATTTCTTACAATTACGAGTTTATATCTTTTATAAAAGATACACCTATATACCTATATACACCTTCTTTTTTTATTATTCAGAGGCAGAGACAGGCTTCCATACATTTCTGCCTCAGAGCACAAAAAAATTTTTTAATACCAACCACCAAGAATACCCTAGCAACCATTTAAGAATGTATTAGAAACATTCTAGCAACTGCTTAGTAACAACCTAGCAACTACCCAGAAATTGCAAACATCTCGGAAAAAACTGGTTTCTTAAAGTAGCATGAATAACTTGAAGAGTGCTGCTGATCACAACGAATAATGATTTCTAAACAAGATTATTGCAAGTTCAAAAGTTTCAACATCTTAGCATGCTAAAATTCACATTAACACATTTCATGTGCACTCACCTGTTGCTCAGAGGGTCGTTAGGCTTCAGACCGGAGTCGTTGTTGAGGGACGCCTGTCGCAGGAGTCCTCGGCTACGGTCCCCTGGAGGACCCTGGTACAGCAGTGGGGCTTCCTGCAGTTTGGCCTTCTTCTCCTGCGGAGCCTCTTCGTGGCGGCAGTGAGGGTCACTCGCACTTGATGGAAGGGCGCCCCCTGGGCTGCTGTAGAACCAGGCCCCTGACTTGGTGAGGATTTCTTGTTGTTTTCGGCACAGATTGCATACCCACATCACCTGACGATGAGAGAACAGGAAGTTAGAATCAGAGAAGAACACAAGACAGAGATCCACAAATGAGATGAATGAAAACTTGCCGTTGTGGGAGAAGCGATTTGTAGAGTTAAATCTGTAATTTCTGTGTCAACTGTGAAGCCAGAGTGAATATTGGGATATTTGTCCTGAACCTCACACGCAGGTCCCACAACAAACAGGTTCAAGAAACTGTGATGCTGGTGCAGCTGACAAACAAAACTGCCAAAGTACATGTGAGAGGAAATGATGAATGCTCAACCAATGGCATGAGTTTGGGGGAGGAGCTACCTGGTTTGTCTGACTAATAGAGCGCAGCAGGGATGACGTATTTTTGTAGGCCAAAGCCCATAAACGAGTTATTTAAGCACGGCTTCACCTTCATGAAGTCAATGTTTTTTTTCTGAATGGGATAAAGGCTTGAAATAAGGTCTGTGGTTAACACAAGCTCAAGATATTTTCACATTTTATTCTATGACATAAAAGACATCCTTGCAGTGTTGCCAAGTCTGTTTTCCAGATTAATTGGGCTACTTTTATACTGTTGGTGAGGGTTGTTTTTTTAGTCTGCGGGTTGAAACAAAACCCCCCACCCCCAGAACAAGGTTTTGACCCCCTGAACGTGATTTTGGAGCGATTCTGATAGCCATTTTCCCCCAGAAAGCGATTTGGTTAGTTTTGAATACCAATTAAGCTGGTTAAGCTGGCAACCCAAACCCTGTGTTAGATATATTTTAAAGCTTTTACTTGTCTAGAAAAAGGCATGCTAACAAGTTCCTAAATGGGACTATAGAGGTAGTTGGGGACATTAAAGGTTATAACACTGAATAAGAAAGCTCATCTACTCATAGTCCACTTTTACAGCCACAGTGTGTTTAGTAGCGCACTCTTGCAAACCACTCCAACTCCAACTTTAAGGGAAAATTATTTTAAATAAAAAAACTAAGAGAGTTGTCAGAACCTTAATGGTGTTGATGTTGAAGTGAAGCAACCGCAATGAAGACATTTCACATACATTCAGCTTTTTACTTCTGGCAAATGTATTTAGACTTAAAAGTATTTAGACAAAAGTTGTGTTGAATGATAGCAAAACATGTAAGAATCAAACTTTTGTTAGTCATAGAGCTTATTTTCTGGATTAATTCAAAAGCCAATGGAAAAATCATATTTGGTTTTTGTCGAGGGAACTAGGGTGATGCTACCTTCATGTCTGGCCTACAAAAATACGTCATCCCTACTGATGTGGAGCGGGGTGGAAATGAGGAAGGTGTTTAGAAACCTGTTTGGCAACAATTAGTAGTCGTTTTTGCATCAAGCATCACTGTTATTACTGTACTCAGGTCTTTACAACCTCTCAAATCTTCTGCTTCAGCAATCCTGAACATCTCCTATCAACGAGGGCACAGCCTGACCTTGTTATCTGCCCAGCAGAAATGCACTCAGCAGGTGGTTGGCATCCAAGCTGCCATCCAGTTTGATGGTGGTAATTAAACATGATCTGAGTCTCACCCGCACACACAGGCTTTCATCAGTCCAGCCTGAATACATAACGCCACATCGGCTCCCAGAAATGATGCATCTCACACAAAAAAAATGAACTTGGAAATTCAAATTATTTACAATTTTCCAAAACTGTTCCTTGTGTAAAGCTATGGTATGGCTGGTAATATAACACAAATTGTACTGTATGAACTACTGCAATGGTGCTTTTTTGGAAGCTGACAGCCCCTGGTCAGCATTCATTCACTTTGATTCAATGGAAAGAGCAGCTCTTCAGAAGAAGGTGAGCATCACAATAAGTGAATAATGACAGAATTTTTCCTGTATTATCCAAACAAAAGAGCTTACAGTTTATTCAAATCCAATAATTGTTAGGAAACTTGAAAAGTTGTATATGAGCTGCCCTATCATACAATAAAGTGAAAAGGTCACATCTTTCAAGTGGTTTTTGATAAGATCACAGTGAGCAATTGCACTGGGAGCGGCTCTGAGACATACCGCAGACGGATGTGAGTGTTATTGTGATGAATGTTTGGTCAGTCAGCGATAGACAAATGAAAAGATGTGTGCAGTGAAAAATTGATAAAGTGCTGAGTGAGCTGTCATTGGTGTCAAATGGCAGGGAACCTTTCTGGGTGAATCTCATGAAGCCTGTCAAGAACATGTTCAGGTCATTTTTCACCCAAAAAAAATAAAAAAAAGCAATTGCAGCTAATGCTGACGTAAAAAAAAAAAAAAAAAATTTGTATTACAGTAATTTTATTAAGAATCTAATGAAAACTACAATTAAGAATAACAAATTGTATAATAATAATAATAATAATAATAATTATAATTATAATAATGCATCATAACATCAATTCTAAGGACCTAAAACTAATTTAAGTGAGCTTTATATTGAACAAAGCCAATAATGCTCACAATGCTTATTTCTTCGAATGAATGAATGAATAAATAAATAAAATCATTTTTTTAATCAATGCAAGGTTTGCAAATAGGAAGACATACGATTTGATTAAGCATCTGATCTGACTACCTCTGTGAGGTACTGTATGTAAAACATAAATAACGTCAATATGAAACTTGCATATTACTGTATCAAACAGCATAACTGGAGAGGCTGTCCTGGGCAGCTGAATATTTTATAGATGTTTGATAAAAGTGAGGATGTTCATGATAAGAGGAGTGTTATCATTCACCAGCTTAAACGCAGCCTGCAGGTGGAACATGAATATTTAATGCGCTTCTATATTTAGAACCCAGCAGCTCCTAATAGACTAGATGCATATTCATAGGTTTTATTTTCTCTGAACTTAAAAAGGACCAATTAAACAAAGTGTTAATTACGCAGTGACAGAATCAAAAATAGACAGATCTCTAAGAGGAAGAGAGCATATGCAGCTCAGTCCTCTATGAGTATGTCACTTTGTCGAAAATATCTTTATTATTAGCCAAATTATTGTGCAAATTAAGGTTTTAAAATTCAAGCTGTTTACATTATGAGATCCATAAGTATCAAGCTGCTATTAAAAGAGTGATAGTGAATCATTATGTTCTTATTTTCTAGATTTGTTCTTTTAATGACAGACAGGTTCCCAAATAACAATATGCAGCTTTTTCCATTGCCTGAATCTCAATAACACAATAAAAGCTTAATTATATAATCATTGCTGCCATGCTTACCCATGTCGGCTGTGTATTGTTTGGTCCAAATGGATAAAACTGATGTTCAATAACTGAAATCAAAACTCACGGACAGCTCCGCACGGTTTCATATGCCAAAGTCCTGCGTAACGGGTGACCTTTTAGAGTTGGGGATCAAATGCTCCTTCTGCTGTCAAGATTGTGCTTCAGTTCAGATTTTCCAGAAAAAAGCAGAAAAAAATGAACCCTGAGATTGATCCAAGTTGTCAAAAAAATAAGCAGCGGAATAAAAGCAATTGCTCATGCAGGAAGATGATACAGAGCGATCGGAGCAGCACGTAATCATGTTTTTGCCACCGAGCATCACTAACACGGGTCTCATTACCGATGCATGTGAGTGTGCAGCTCCACCGGGGCTGAGTCCGACTCATTACACATGCACAACGCTCACTAACTCTCTTCAAAGGATGCTGATTAAGACAGAAACACTAACTTCAACATCAAGATGTGTTAAATCACTGATGTGCATCAGATATTATGCTAGCAAAATCAATCACATTATATGAGTCAAAATCTTCTAAGGGGTAATAATGGAACAACAGCTTTAAAGTGATTTTTCTCTATTATTAACAATAGGATCTGTATTTTCATGGGTTAAAATAAAAGATTTTGCCGTAAGAAACTTCATGCCTCAAAACCACTCCTTTTCTGGTTTTCAAAAGTCAACAAATGTGCGACAACTGAATGTAACATTTTTGACAAGCCAAACATGTTAGTCTTTCAAATCCACATCATTTGTCTATCCATCTTGCGCATCTATGTCTGTCAAAAAATAGTATTTACGAGAAGCCTGCAGAGGTGCAGGGAGCACACGGATTTGCTGGAAAACCCACACTACTGGATGATTTGACTTTGTGTTTGCTTTCTGAGGAGGAGGAGAAAATGCAGCCTGAGCGGCTTCAGCAAGCTGTCCGTCAGAGATCGTAACGTACCTAATACGTAATAATTTGCTCTTCGCTGAAATTGACAGGTGATTTTTATAAAATGTAGTTTGACCACGGTCTTCTCAGTTGTTTAAAAGATTAAGGCAACTATCAAAGTTTGATAAAATGCTGTTTAATTGAAATTTTTTTTAATGATTTGTTATATTAAATTAGGCCTTTGCAGATTTTAAAGGGATAGTTCACCCAAAAATTGAAATTGCCCCATGATTTACTCACCCTCAAGCCATGCTAGGTGTATCAGAGTTATATAAAAATTTTTACAAATGTAAAAACCGTAAGTTACTCCGGTAACTCTGCGTAAGCTCCGGTGAGAATATGCTAGTCTCACAAGAACCAAGTTTTGTTTACGGCAAAGAAAACCAGTCTCCTCTTGGCTTATATAGAAATCCTTCGACATTTCTCTGTACTGCTAATTCGTGAACGTTTTTTTGTTTTGCTCTCTCCTCTGCGCTTCCTCATTTGTCACTTCTCACCGGAACGCACGTATGACAGTTAAGGGAAGCTAGAGTGTGTTATTCCAAGAATTCTGAATCCATTTCGACAGCTTTTGCCTTAAATTTCCCTCAAATTTTAGAGGAATAATCTAAAATGTAAGATATTATTTACTGAAAACCTCTTCACTGCATCATTCCAGATGCAATACCGTTCAAGGAAAGTAAATTTTTTTTATGTTTTTGAAACTTATGCCCACCAAAGCTGTATATATTTGCCCAAAAATACAGCATAAACTGTAATATTTTGAAATATTATCACAATATCTGTTTTCCATTTACATACGTGACCCTGGACCACAAAAGCAGTCTTAAGTCGCTGGGGTATATTTGTAGCAATAGCCAA